ACTGCTCTAGTGGCTGGCGTGCTGGGCTCGAGGGGATATGGCGGGGAAAGTCTCAACACTGCCAGAATCCAAAACGCACCGCCAGGAAATGTCTCCGACGGTTCGGGCATTAGGAGGGGGAGCAGGAGGAGGAGGAGGAGGAGGAGGAGGAAGAGGATGAGGATGAGGAGGAGGGTGACGTCGACGCCGCGATTTCTGTTCACGGCGACGCCGTCGTCGACCGACGTGCGTCCCGTCCGACGCGGGCGCCCGCCCGCCCTCCGCAAGTCCCCCATCACTGGCGCCCGCGCAGCGCCCTGCGCTGGAGAAGCACGGCCTCTGGGCGGCGCACCCGCGGCTCTTCCCTCCTCCGTCCTCCCTCCACCCGCCTGCCACCTCCCACGCCTCTCCTGCCTCTTCCCTCTTCCCTCTTCCTTTCTGACTTCTCCTCCTGAACTCTCTCTCCCTCCTCCCTCCTCCTCCTCCTCCTCCTCCTCCTCTCTTCCCTCCTCTCCGCCTCCGCCTCCTCCTCCTCCTCCTCCTCCTCCTCCTCCTCCTCCTCCTCCTCCTCCTCCTCTCCTCCCCGCCTCCGCCTCCCCTCCTCCTCCTCCTCCTCCTCCTCCTCCTCCTCCTCCTCCTCCTCCTCCTCCTCCTCCTCCTCCTCCCCTCCTCCTCCTTCCTCCTCTCTCCTCCCTCCTCCTCCTCTCCTCCTCCTCCTCCTCCTCCTCCTCTCCCTCCTCCCCCCTCCCCCTCCCCCTCCCCTCCCCCTCCTCTCCTCCTCCTCCCCTCCTCCCTCCTCCTCCTCTCCTCCCCTCCTCCTCCTCCTCCTCCTCCTCTCCTCCCTCCTCCTCCCCTCCTCTCCTCCTCCTCCTCCTCCTCCTCCTCCTCTCCTCCTCCTCCTCCTCCTCCGTCCTCCTCCTCCTCCCTCCTCCCTCCTCCTCCTCCTCCTCCTCCTCCTCCTCCACCTCCCCCTCCACCTCCTCCTCCTCCTCCTCCTCATCCTCCTCCTCCTCCTCCTCCTCCTCCTCCTCCTCCTCCTCCTCCTCCTCCGCCTCCGCCTCCGCCTCCGCTCCGCCTCCGCCTCCGCCCTCCTCCTCCTCCTCCTCCTCTCCTCCTCCTCCTCCTCCTCCTCCTCCTCATGCTCCTCATCCTCCTCATCCTGCCCCTCCGCCTGCCCCCCCTCCTGCCCCTCCAGCAAACGACGACGGCGACGACGACGACCCCGTAAGAGAGGGGGATGCTGTGAGGACGGGGAATTCGGTGTGAAGGGGGGTGGGGTCCGGCTCGCCGGTTGCTTCGGATGTTTGGGGGCCAGCTTTCGACGTCTTACAACGACTCGCACCCAAGAGCTCCATGAAACGCAATCTCTCCCAGGGGACAAAACACCAGTACGATGCCTAGCCTGTCGAGTGTCACACTCGGCATCAGATCCGCGGACGGCCGACTCCTGAAGGCCGCGGCGGGGCCGAGGGAGCAACTACCAGAGCCGATGCCCAACCAGGCGTCGAGGGAGAAGGACCCAGGGAGTTTGCCTGGGGCGAGCTTTTCATCCCGAGTCGTCTGTTGACGGTCCCTGGGCTCAGGTAGGAATTAGCAAAGGGGGATAGCTAATCAGGTACAGTAGGGGCCCGACCACAAGAAACCTTCCACAACAAGCCCAACCCTCAGACCCCAGGACGTCCATTGATGTTTGGTGTGGGAACGTCACGCTTTCCACAGCAAAACCATCGAAACCCAAGAAACCGAGGGCACCATGCTAGCAGGATGTTTCTTGGCATGGGCTCCCACGATGGCGTGGCTGATCTCCCCGCCGTCTTGAGGGGCCCAAGGCGCCGATGCATCGAGGAACGTGCAAGGCGGCGGAGCCGAAACAGCTGCATGCAGCAGATTTCTGAACCGTCCCTACAGGGCAGGTTTTAATACATCGGAATTTGATTATATAAGACTTTGAATACATGATTAATGTATGAATAGATTCATGCATAAACTCATCCTTGTATTTATTAATAAACCCTTTATTTTTTATACATGGTCCGCACGCGGAGCATGTATTAAAACCGGCGCTGTACCGTGGCTTTCGAGAAAAAATACGCCCCTCTCTAAGGCGTGCTGAAGCGGGCCCCACCCCCCTGCCCAGAGTCCAAAGTTCGGGGTGCTCGACGCAGGGGAGTGCGAGGCGTTTCGAAAAAAAAGCTACCACCTTTGCAAACCGCGGCCTGCTCCTTGGATTAACATTGCAATTGGGGGCGCGGGGGGCGCTCTTGCGCCATCTCCTAGTCGTTTTATCCGGGCGCGTATTTCGAAAACGCCGGTATCTCCCCTGTCGTCCGACCTAGCCAAGGAGGCCCCAGAGCCCGAAGACCATGAAAAATACACGGCCCCTCTCCTGCAGGACATGGGATGCTCTCCATGGCGAACTCGAAACATCCGCCCCTGGGACTCTCCCACAGTGCGCTCGGACCAGAATCTCAAGGGAATCCAACCGTAGCGACGAGGATCCAGGGCGCCAAGAAAGAACGAGAAACGCATCCAGATCACTCGACCCACCAGAACCCGAAGACGGGAAAGAAATCGAGGATCCCTTGCCTCCCCACACATCCGGCGTCTTGTTCTTCGCTGCGGGGCCCCCAGGTCTCTCGAACCCTGCCCACAGGACCGAAATTTCGTCCCGGGTGCTCCTTTTCTCCCCAAGGATTGTCGAGAATGAACATAATCTCTTTTTATCCTAATAGCACATTGAAGACGTAACCCAGATTCGGTCCCCGTCTCTGCGTCATGGATACTCTTTGTGGGCGACGGACCGTGCGGTGAGGTCTTGCGGCATTTCGAGGTCACCGCTTGGATCGGCGACTGCCGGCGAACCCTCCACCTGCGGGTCCCATTGGGAGGTCGGGCTGCAGGCGCCCTTCGCATTCCTGAGCCCCTTCTGGTACTTCCGAAATCTGACCTGCAGGGGTGGCGCTCGCGCGTGTTGGACTGGTTGGGTGTCCGTTTTGGATTGTTGTCGTTGCGTTGCTGTTGTGTTGAACATTCATTTCTAAAGAATAATTATTATCCCCCCTCCGGTAACCGTTGTATATGTTCAATTAAAGTGCCCCTTCTGGTACTTCCGAAATCTGACCTGCAGGGGTGGCGCTCGCGCGTGTTGGACTGAACGACCTGGTGGCTCGTGAGATGGTGATGACTGCTGTCTGCTTGCGCAGTTAGAAGCTACCCCAGAGGGGCCCAACCACCATTTTGCAGCGCACGTGGTGGTTGGCCGATTGTGCAGGCGGTCCACGCAGGACACCCGCTGCGAGAACCATCCTTCGCGGTTGCAAAGTGGTGGTTAGGAACTCAAGGCTCAGATTCGGACGATTCAGACTGACCCTGCAAACTGTCGGGGGCCCCCAAACGGGGTGGTGACCACACCGTGTGGTGAATCGGTGGGGATTCGGGGTAATCCGCACGGTTTTGGGACTCGGGTCGTTCTCCGAGGACGTCTCGGGCGACTGGGGCATCCGAGGCATCCGAGGGCGACGGACCGTGCGGTGAGGTCTTGCGGCATTTCGAGGTCACCGCACTGTCTGTCACCGCACCGTTTCGGGACTCCAGAAATCGACGGTGGACAAACCTCCCTTTGGCAAACCTCCCCTTAGTAAAAACGGCCTGGGACCTAAACCGACGGACCTGGACCCGCAAAAATGACAGCCGCGACGCCCTCTCGCGAACCGAAAACGGCCAAGTCGCTACTCGACGCGTCAGGGTAGAAGGTCTGCCCACCCCCGAAAAAACTGACTCGAACACAAACGCCCTGGCCACTAGTTGACGAACGAACAATACACACCCATACCCATAAGGGGGTCGTTGGGAGGAGGACTGGCTATGGGTATGGGTGCGGGCTGTCGGACCCCAGGGAACGCTCCCGTTCGAGCGGGGACCCCATATCCGACAACACGCACCCATAGCCCCTTTCCGAGCCCCCTATGGGTATGGGCGTGTGTTGTTGGTTCGTCACTTCTGGCAGGGGGGTTCAGCTGACGCGTTGGCCCGCAGTACGCGCCAAGACCTGCACTGGCGAGGAGAGGGTGGGCCTGGTGCGAAAAAAACCTGTCAGTGGCCGCGTGAATCCACTTGCTCCCCATGGTGGGGCCCGTGTATTCTTCCAAATCGTTTTCTACTTGGCCCTCTGGTGGCGGTACGGGGATGGTTTGCGAGAGTTCGTCTGAGTCGAGATCCGGAACGCAGCCGACTGCAGGGTCCGAGCCGACTCTCCCGCCCCGCCGCCGAGCCTCGCCGTCGAGGATCGACAGCGCCTGCCGGAGCCCCGCAATCTCGGAGGCCCGACGCCCGGCGCGCTCCGCGTAAGACTCGGGCTTCGCGACGCACATGTCCTCGGAGGAGGGGGGGGGAGAGAGGAGGAGGAGGAAGAGGAGGAGGACGAGAACGAGAGGGACGAGGAAGACGGGGAGGAGGAGGAGGAGGAGGAGGAGGAGGAGGAAGAGGAGGAGGAGGAGGACGACGAGGACGACGACGAGGAGGGGAAGCGGGAGGAGAAGGGTAGGTAGGTAAGACGCAGGCTGGGACGCTGGGTCGTGCTCTGTGTGTCTTGACGCGTGAGGGCGCGCTATGACTTTGCATAGGCTCTGGGGCCACACATGGGCCCCCAGAGTGTGAGGCTACTCTGGCCACAAGATGGCAGAGAAATTCCAGGGAGCGCGCCGTCTGCGCTTGATCTCCCTGGCGGCCTCTCTGTTGCGACGAATTCTCTCCAACTGCTCTGCAGTGAGCTGGGGGGGGGGCGGAGGAGGGGCAGCTAGGGCGTCTGAGCTGGCGGCTGCCGCCGGCCGGCTCCTCACGTCCGTGGCGGCTTCGGCCGCCTCGATGACCGCGGCAGCCTGGGACGGGCGGTCCTCGGGGGCCCCGGGCGGGAGAAGCTCCAGAGGCTCGGGGGGGGCAGCGGAGGCGCCAGAGGAAGGGGAGGAGGCGGAGGCTTCGCTGGTCTCCCTGGGTGGAGCCCAACGCCAAGCTCCAGGGTTCACTCTGTGTTTGGTACCCTTCTTGCCGGCGTAGTCTGGGGCCTCCCAGAAGCACTCCTCGTCGGACCACGGTACAAAGAATTGTCGGATGCTGGAGTCGTTGTGATCCTGTGTGAGCTGTGGTAGCATGTCTGATGGCACGTCCATTCCATTGTGATAAGCGTCCAAGATGCTGTCGTGCATGGCCTGTGCAATGGCCTTGCACATTGATGGTGGGTACGTCTTTTTGCTGCTCGTTTTGAATGTCCCGTCCTCGTGTTTGCCCTGCAGTACTGCATGGGCATTGGGGCCGTGGTTGCACCTGCCGTTGTTGTTGGCCTTCAGGAGGCCGTACATGGTCGGTAGTCGGAGCGCCAGGATCCTGGTCGCTGCTTTGCCGTGTAGTCTTGGGTCCTCTGTTCTGTGTGTGCATTGGTCGAACTGGATGGTGCTGACCAGGGGGCAGCTTTCCAGCGCTCGGAGGGGCATCCAGTGAAAGCTTGAGGGCGCCTCGGGTCTCCAAGGCGCTGGTGGCGGGTGCTCCATCCAGCCGCTAGTGCCCGCACGTACGTGTTCGGCCAAGAGCTGTGCTGTGGTGAAGAGTAACATGTTGCCTACTCTGAGTTGTTCACGCTGCGCCTGTGCGCACCACGGCACTCCCCACATGTGGCTGTGAGTGCGTAGGGGTGGGGGCCCGTCGGGGTTCCAGCGGGCTGCGCTCCAGGTCTCACATGGCGGTCCTCCGCCTGTGACCCATACGCGGTGGCTTCTGATGTGCTCCGCCCACTCGGCGATGGTGGAGGCGCGCGTAAGGTCCCCAAGCATATGGTGTATAGCGATATCCAGGGAAAGCACTGTGATAGTTAGCTCCACTCCATGTGTCATGTCATCAATGTGATACTGTATGTCGCCGTGTCGTCGCCTCCCACAAAATAGATTAAGTATAAAGACCTCCGCACGCGTAATACGGTATGGGAGCGGAGTGACGGCGAGGCCCGTAAAGTCGTTGGAAAGGAAGATGTAGTATCGGTCTTCATAATGTATAGGGTTGGGGTCGGAGCCGTCTGGGTGGGGAGGTGGGGCGTCCTGCCACGCTAGTTGGAGAGCTGGTAGGGCCTCCTGAGGGTACTCATATCGGGCTTCTCTGAGAACCTTCCTAGCCTCCTCCTCCGTTAGGTGTGAGAAAACCCAAGTGGCTTCCCAGATCATCCCATTGATGCCTACCGTCGCTGGGCATGCTGACCTCCATCGTCCCAGGCCCGCCTTACGGCGGGCTTCACAGAGTTGTCTGTCGTGCTGTGCTGATTCCTGAGCTTGTGACGCTGTAAGAGTGGCCCCTCTGCACCCGTAAGAGAGTGCGCACCTGGCTGAGTCGAATGCTAGATGGTCTCGCACCTGCCGTCGTGATGCGAAATCTGTAGCACACGCCATGCATTGTGTACCCTCACCGAGGAAGCGCTCTATCTGCGAAACAAGACTGAAGTGCATGCGGACGATGTGCTGACGCAGCGCCTTGGGTCTCGGGAAGTGAACCTGACACCATGGGCATTCAAGCTGTGTGCTCCTCCCGTCGTTCTGCCTCGGCGGGTGGTGGGGGTGGGTGATGGGTAGCGGGAAGCCGCAAGGCATCGTGATGGCAAAAAAGTATGTTTCTGCTTTGTCCGCTAAAGCTGACTGTGCGTCTGCGTGCGCAGCGTTGGCCGATGCCTCTCGCAGGAGGCTCTTCCATGCACGAGCTGATCGAAAAACGAGCTTCTCCCAATCACCAAAATCTACCACAGGATCTGGGTAGTCGTGTAGTTGTTTGCATACCTTGCGCATCCAAGCTAGGTCCTCCAAAACGCGGTGAAGCCAGGAGGTTTTGGTCGTCCCGGGGTTGTCCTGAGCGGCCCGATAGGCCATCGCGAGCAGCCCTCGGAGGATGTCGGACCCATGGTGGATAAGAAGTCTGAGCCAATGCACCCTCAACTGCACATTCAGGTCGCAGCGAGTGACTGTAGCCAGCACAACGGCGTCGGTACTAGCAGTGTCGTCATAGCTGAACAGTCCGCTGGCAGCCCGGTACTTGCGCAGCAGTGCATGGCGTAGCTTAGCATAGGCTCCAGTTTCGATGTTGCACCAGGTCCCCGAATTAAACAACATGGAGGAGGTAATAAGTGAGTCAATGAACCTCATCTTCACTGCACCGGCGTCTTCATCTTGAGGTAGGGCCCGAAATACTTTGCGCACTAGTGTTCTGGAGGACTGTGCCACCCCAGCAATACGTTTGGCGACCTCGGGACCCAGAGCGCACCTTTCGTCCAAGATAGACCCAAGATGGGGGTATTGACGTACTGCGCGCATGTGCATATCTCCTACCACGTCGTTGTGCCAACTGAAAGTACCCTGCATGTGCTTCCAAAGCTGGAGTCGGGCGGATTTGGAATGTTTGCCATGGAATTGGTACAGCACCTCTGTCCTTCCTGCCTTGAAATTGAGAGTGAGTCCTCGGGATGCAAAAGAGCTTGCCACTATGCCTGCAACCTGCGGAGCGAGCTGTAGCAGCTCGAGGGGGTCTCCGATGACGGCGAAAGCTCCGTCGTCAAAAAAGGCAACCTCTAAGGCCTGCTGCGTGGGCGCAGGCTCGTGCGCCATCATCTGCGAGAGTGATGCTCCACACATCGTTGGAACCTGCAGCGCTAGTTGGAGAGGCTGGAGTTGCTCTTTGGTGAGGGCCATGCATTCCGCCATAACGAAATTGAAAACGACGTCCCCGAGTTGTTGTCCTGGAACAGTGCCGAGCAGGGAAACCGCCACTGTAGAGGCCCCTGGGTAGTGGAACCAGGACCCGTGGTAGGAGGAGGCTACCAGAGCCCGTAGGTGTTGGCTGACTCCAGCTGTCTCCAAGCTAGTTGCATTCGAGCTGAGCCGTGCAAGAAGACGCTGCATGGCCTCTGGTGGGAGACCCGTGGTCCTCAATATGCATGCGATGTCGTCAATAGTATGTCCTGAGCACATGACCAACTGTCTGACCGACTTGTAAAATGCCTGCACCACATCGATGAATAGATACATGATGCTGGTGTTGGAAAGCTCAGCTAGGTTCTGAAAGGTGCGAATGGTGAGCCCTGCCAGATCCACCCCACGTCCCGAGACACCACCAAATTGTTGGTCCCCTGCGTAGCTGGGAAGGGCATGTGCGAGAGGGGTGCGAATGAGGGAGCGGAACTTTTTGCCGATCTGCGGGGAGACCATGACTGATCTGGAGTGGGCGGGCCAAGACGGGTCTCCTGAGCGCTTCCAGATGTTCCAACACGACCCTCCTTTCCATTGCTGTGGTTCTTCGAGCCTTACTACTGCTTTCATGACGACGGGAAAGTATACTTCAGCAAGTTCGGGCCCGAAAGTCGCCAGCAAGCGTCCCGTGATGCCGTCGATGCTGGCTGCACTGGGACGCGCACCTCTGCACGCCGTCTGAAACTGAGCTAGCGCTGGCAGGAAGATGTCCTCGTCTTGGACGGCGCAAGACTGAGCTGGGAGGGGAGGGAGGAGGTCGATGATGGCCTGTGCGTGCTGCATAGGGATCACAATAGAGCACTCCTCCCTTCCAAAATGTGCAAGCCATACATTCGCTGCTTCCTGATGGGTAGCTGCTGGGATCCCGTTTTTCCCTTTGATGATGGGGAGGGCCTGGACCAGGAGTTTCTTCTTGGACCCCGCGCCCATACGTCGTAATGTGGCGAACGCTTTGTCCATGGCTTGTTTGTCCCACTCTGACTTGAGCTGTGTAGCTAGGTCCCGATAGTGCGCCTGGGCGTCGGACTGCGAGCACTGCTTAACAATGAAGGTGTTGTGCAGCTTGAAAAGTTCACGCACTGCCGACGTACATCCCTCCATCCCCCGCATGGCATCCCATATGCACGCAATGGGGTCGGGAGTAGGGAGAGCATGTAGCCAGTAGTGATCTGGCTGCATCGGGGCGAAAAGACGCGGAGAAGGAAAAAATGCTATGCGCATCCACTTGGCCCGTCGTCTTTTGGATGGGTCCTGCCGTTGTAATTCTGCTGACCTGGCCATGGCATGACTAAACTCGCTGCTGACTGCATTGTACGAGCGGATGCTGCACTCCCAGGCTGTGATCGCACTGTCGGGCATCGGCGGCATGGTAGCATATCGTAGGTACCGTGGGTCGTCATACGTCCGGCATGTGCGTGCGTAGTGCGCAAGGTGCGCCCAAGTGAAGAAGACTACTGCACGGGATGCGCGCGCCAAAGCGAGTCGTGCGTGTCGTGCTTGTCGAAGTGCTGTGGTGCGTCTGTCAATCTCCTGTAGCGTGGCCGTTTGGATCCAACACTGTCGTGGTTTGGTGCCACGGGTGGTTTGCTTTTCTGGGGAAGCTTCGCTGACAGACCTTCGCACATGCTGATCTAGGAGCTGCGTGTGGTCCGAGCTATGCATAGAGAACTCTGGGAGAGGGCACTCGTGCAACGTGCTCCTAAATACTGCTTGTGCCTCGGGGTCGCGAAGGCGAGCTGGGTCGTGAGGGATGCGAGTCGGCCCGGCACGCCTCTGGAAGCAGCCTGAGGGGGGTAGGAGAAGTAGTGCGCCTACCGCCTGGTGATCCTCTTGTGCAACTGTGAGGTCGACAACCCCGTCAACGCCCTGTTGTAGCGCAATCGCTGAGTCCGAAAGACACACATAGCCCCGTCGTTTGGCCGTGGCTTTGCCCGAAGGTGCGGCCCAAGAGCCCGAGATGCCCGAGTACGATTTGAGGAAGGTAGAGGGGGCCCATTGGCCCGTGTCCAACAGAAATTTGTGGAAATGCTCTCCTGCCAAGTTCTCCTCCTCCTTGTCTATCTCACCTACTGCTGCTGACATCACGCTGCCAAGCGCTGCGTTTGAATCCGCCAGCGCGATGAGATGCTCTGCGCCAAGCCGTGTGGCAGTCACAAGCTGTGTAGTGACCTCCCACCATTGTGATGCGATACATTGGCCTCCGGTGTCTGCGTAGGAGAGCGGGGGCGGGAGTGGGGGGCATGTAGGACAACAACGTTGACACATATGCCTGGCCCACGGATGCCCACTATCAGACGCGCAGGCTCGGCATGTAACACACGGCACATGTTGCTTGTGATATGGTGACCCGGCATGTATGGAATCCCCGCATGTACCCATAGTGCGCACCCGTCGGAGCCCTGTGGTGTGGCAGAGGAGTGCATGACGTAGTAGTCTCCGAATGACTGCGCCTTGTGAACTTGGAGTCGGGTCTCGAGGGCGCCCACAAGAAGGCATTGGTGGGAGGCAAATTGGGAAGCCAATTGCATGAGCCTGCCGGGCCCAGGGCCAGTGAGGTTATGTTGGCCCTTCCACATACTGGGGAGTAAGGTAAGCACGTTGGCCGTA